GCTGTAAGTGTCATGAGTCAATTCATGCATGCACCAAACAAAGATCATTTAAATACAGTATACCAAATCTTGAGATACTTAAAGGGTACTCCCGGTAGAGGCTTATTATTTTTAAAAAATGGCTCCTCAACAATTGAAGGATACACAGATGCTGATTGGGCGAGTGATCAAATGACTAGGATATCCACTTCTAATTATTTTGCTTTCGTTGAAGGTAACCTGGTCACATGAAAAAGTAAAAAAATAAAAGGTTGTGGTAAGATCAAGTGCAGAAGCTGAATTTCGAGGAATGACTCATGGAATATGTGAATTGTTATGGATCAAGAGTATTTTAGAAGATTTAAGAATTAAATATATGAAATGTATGAGTCTTTATTGTGATAATGTAACTACTATTAAGATTGCACAAAATTCTATACTATATGATCGCACTAAACATATTGCGATTGATAGACACTTCATTAAGGAAAAGTTGGATAAAAGATTATAAATTTTTGCTTTGTCAAATATGAAAATCAATTAACTAACATTCTCATAAAAGCAGTTACTAAAAAGATATTCTCTGAAATGACCAACAAGTTGGGCATGATAGGCATCTATACTCCAACTTGAGGGGAAATGTTGACATGAGTTATAAATTACTAAATTAGTGTTGTAAATTATTATATTAATTGGTAGATAACTAGATTTTTATTATAAATTAATGCTATAAATTACTAGATTAGTATTACAATTATAGTAATTTGATTAGCTGATTTTTTTATGTGTAATAAATTTCTATTTCTTTTTATGTGACGTAATTGTACCTATATATTACATCTGAACAGAGAAAAATAGAAATTCATGAATTATTTACAAATTCTATTATTTTATATTTTCCTTTCCTTTCCTTTTATATCCATGGATTTCAGTAGATCTTTTTTTTTTAAACCAATTTTTTGGCTTTTGATAATGGGTTTTATATATGCTCTTAACTCGATTCTTGTTTTATCTATATATCTTCGATTCTTTTCTATAGTAATATGTGAATATAGAAACTCACTTGTCCAAATTTTTTGAATTTGCCTGTGCCAATCCTTTTTTTCTGTTTTTTTTTCTTTTAATTCTTAATGTTGATATTGGAGTTGTTATACATGTTATTTATATATCTAGCAATTATAATCAATTCTTTTCATTTTAATTTGTGGATTTGTAGAGAAAATGAAAAAAAAAAAAAGACATAAATAGCGTTACTTTTGTGGGCATTTTCTTTGAAATCAAAATGACATGTTGACATATGTAAATAGAGGAGATCAAGCTTGGCACCGTTAGCGATGAAGAAAATTGGTGAAGATGATGGCAAGTTTCCCAAATATTATTTAAAAAACTTAATTAATTTAACTAATTTATTTATTTAAACCATATAAAATAATGATGATAAATATTTGTTGGGATTTTTTTAAGGATGAAGAAAACTTAAATTTTCATTGACTTCACTTTCTCCATATTTAACAAATTAAAGTGTTTTAAATTAGTTTACATCAAATTCAACTTTTCTAAAAATAATTTATCATAATTTAAAAGATAAATATAAATCAAATCTCTTAAAAGATAAACTTCAACTAATAACATGATTTTTTTAAAAAAATAAACATATTCTAAATCTAAATAAAGATAAATCCTATTTGAATTCAAACTAATAAATAAAATAAATTATAATTTATATATTTATTTTCAACACTCTCCCTTAATGTAAAAATTATAATTACTAAATTTATTTTGTTGGAGCACTTCTCTCCAATATTTCTTATTTGATCTTCATATTTTGAAGTATTTGTTTTCAATTATTGATGCACTTATCACTAACCTTCTGATTATTGATGCACTTATCATCAATCTTCAATTATTTGATGCATTTCTCGTCAAAATTTCTTGGAGCATTTCTCTCCAAATTTTAAAGAATAGTTTATTCTTCTTCTCCAATAATATTTGTTTGCTCATTCTTCAACCTGTAATTTTTTTGTACATATCCAAATCTTTTTCAATAAAAATATTGTGATTTACTTTTATGTCAATAATATTTTTCATCATGATTATTTTTCTTGCATACTCCGCATGGTGAAAATTTTCTTATCTTTGATGTTAATGAAGACTTGTTTAACATCGTGATAATGAAAACTCCCTCAATTATTTTTTCATCTCTCATTGCTCTTCTTTGCTCCATAGCCTGCAAAACATTAATTAATTCTGCAACTATAATTTTAGAGAGATTTTTAAAATTTTCAAGTAATGAAATTTTTCACTCAAACTTTTCTGGTAAGCTTACAAGAATTTCTTCAATAATTCTACTGTCAGAAAACTCTTCACCAAATAATCTAATTTTGTTAAAAATTGTTATGAGTTTGTTAACATACTCCTTGATTCTTTTTGATTCTTTCATGCTTTGAAAATCAAATTCTCTCTTAAAATTTAAAACTTGCATCAACCTAGTTTGGTAATTACCTAAATACTCAGTTTTAAGTAAATTCCATATCTCTTTTGGAGTTTTACAAGCTATGATGTTAGTGAAAATCACTTCAGAAACTGAAGAGTACAATTAAGTTTTTGCTTTGTAGTTCTTGAATTTTTCTTTATTATGACTATTTAGTTAAGCTGCAGTTGGATGAAATGACAATGGTGGGATTTCATCATCATTTCAACCACATCCTATAAATCAAAAGATTATAAATATATTTGTATTTTCATAACTCATAATTGATAATTTTCTCATGTGAAAATGGGAGGTGAAGCTAAAAGAAAGGTGTTTGAAGTCATATTTGATGTATGAGACTCGTTTGTTTTCTCTCTATAATTTTTTTTCTCACATATCTTTGACCAACAAAACTCTGATACTATTTGTTGGGATTTTTTTAAGAATGAAGAAAACTTAAATCTTCATTGACTTCACTCTCTCCACATTCAACAAATTAAAGTATCATTAAATAGGTTTACATCGAATTCAAAATTTTCAAAAATAATCTATCATAATATAAAAGATAAATATAAATCAAATATCATAAAAGATAAACTTCAACTAATAACATGATTTTTTTAAAAAATAAATATATTCTAAATCTAAATAAAGATAAATTTTATTTGAATTCAAACTAATAAATAAAATAAATTATAATTTATACATTTATCTTCAATATTAGTAAAAATCAAGAAAAGACATAATAAATATTTTTTGAATTTTTTTTATTCTTACTCTTAAATAAAATGATTATATATTTGAAATAATTAATGATATTTTAGTAAAAAAGTTCAATTGAAAAATTTTGAAATAATTTTGTAAATTAACAAACTAAATTTTACTAAAACATTGGAACTAATTAAATTACAATAACTTATAAGTCAAAAAGTTAAATCAAAATATTCACTGTTGTACTTCAAATTATTTTGGAGTTGCAATTAAAGAATAAAACTACATTAGCCACTCTTATAATCTCATCAAAGATACTTCAAGATATAATTAATACATATTATGATATTATATTTAAGATTATCATCTAATCTTTTATATTTATTATTATTTTGCGATATTAACTTTAGTGATTATACTAAGAAGAATTTAAAAATTATTAGAAAATAAATAACTATTTGGCCGAAATTTTTACCTAGGCCCCTAGATTAATAACAATTAAATCAAACACAAAAAGCATTGAATTAATTTGCATATATATATATATATATATACCAGCATAAGAAAATCATAAGTTCATTGGTGAGCCAATTGGTTTAAGTTGATGGGATAGCAATCAGCTTGTGAGCCACTATAAGCCCTTTGAGCAATAATTTGATTGAAGGCTTGGGTTGGATGGTAGGCATCCCAAAACACATATTCTTCTCTGTTGAAACAAGGTATTGATAATGGAAGACAAGTTATTTGCCCTTTGTTTCTTCCAATACCACAGCACCCTCTATCAGTCACTCTGAATCCTGCAATATTCACTATTAATTACGTTACTGAATTTTAAATAATTGATTAAACTGATTCTACTTAAATGGGTAAAAAACGAAATCTCACCATAATCATTGGGGTGGTTTAGTATGTCGAGGAAAGCATAGTAAGTATTGCCATACACAAAGGTTGCATCTGTGGAGTTGGTGTTGAGGTGATCCACAAGAGACCTGAGCCGCTGGTTAAACAATCTAACCATGTCATTCACAATTGAGACGCAGTCACCTCGTGGCGCAGCCCCAGTGGCTAGCTGGTTTGGCATGCAACCTAATGGTCCAATTGCTGCCAACAGAAACTTCTTAAGCCCCAACCTATGCAATGCCTACAAAATTTTTGCATACCCTTTTTTAGGTTCCCCTTTTAGTTTGTTATTATAATTTGATGAAAGTGATATATACCATGACGTGAGTTGCGAGATTTGTTACGAGGATATCAGCATAGTCATTTGGGGTGTAGATGTATCTAGAGGAGTAGATTGAAGGCATGAGATAATTGTTGATGTAGTCATTGCTTCCAAGTTCTATAATGACTATGGGACTTAGCCAAATACTGAGAAAGTCCATTGTCATCAAGGAGACTCTTCAATTGCCTCACTGTGCTTTCGAAGTTCTCGACTTGTGCTCAGGCTATACCGATCTCCCTATTTCATAAATTCATGTAAATATTTCAAATTAACAGCATTAATTAAATTGGGTTTTGTTAGAAGAAAATTTTAATGAACAGCTTTTTCAAGAAAAAGAAAAGAAATTTGTTTACTAGATTTTTTCCTGTCTCATCAAGAATCCCAGCTGCTGCAGAAGCATAATTTACACCTTTCAGAATATCTACACTTCCTGTGAAGGTATCAACAAATGCTGGAAGAAGAGGAAGACCCAAAAAATCTCCTGCAAAATTATGAATATGTACATCACCATTAAAAATTGATTGAAAAACTAGAGAAAATGTAAGGAGAAAAGTTAATAAATTAAAATTACCTAGAAAATCAATGATGGTTTTTCCATTGGAAAATCTGCCAGTAGGACCTCCAGTGAAATCAATACCATAAGGCATATAATTTGATCTTGCCAAAGAGCTCAAGTAGTTGTTGTTTCCATTGTCAACTAAAGAATCCCCAAACACAAACATTGCAGGAACCTGTGGAGATGATGACGATGACGATGATGATCCCATCACACCAGTTTTCTTCCATGGAAAAACAAACAAAAATACCCAATTCACTAAAATAATACTACATACCCTTGACAAACCCATATACATAAATATTATATAATCTATCAATAAATATATATCTGGTTTTTTTTTTTTTGTTTTTCTCTCTTCTGTACTATATATAAAACATATATATATATCGATAGATATGCATGCAAGTAAACTAGTTTGAAAAATCTAGGGATAATTACGTAAATATATGCATATGTTACCACATAATTGAATGAAACTGATCAATAACTTAAAGAAGAAGCTGATGGCGGGATGACATGATAAGTGCATACATATATATATATATATATATATATATATGTATAAGATGATTGCATATATGCTTTTTCAGTTTCAGAAAAAGATAGAAACGGTTTTGCCTGTAAAGCTGTTTCAGCAATCTTCTTCTCCTCATCCTTTTTTCAGGTTGTTGATGATTTATTCATTTTTTAAGATACAAAACGTATTCTTTCTTGCAGGACTTTAGATATATTTAATCCACCTTAAATTTTTTATTATTTATTTTCATGTAGTACTGCATGTTCACATGTGATGCTTCACTGAATTTGAGAGGCTTCACCAGAAATTAAGTAGAAGGAGAGTACCTGATTTACTGAATTTTGATCAGATGCTATTATTGCATCTAGCTTTTCCTGGAAATACTGAAAATAAACCATACACTTGTTTATAGAATGGAAATTACGTACACGTATAAATTTTAAATCAAAATCTTTTGAATCGGGTATATGTATTGAAGGTTAATCAAATTGTTTGTGCTTCAATGGAGTTTGTCCTTTGATACAAGCTTGGACTGGAAACAATGTGAGTGTTTTCTTGCCACTGTATCACAAATCAAATTGATATACTGCCATAACATGTATATACATACATATATATACACACATTTGGGTGGGTCGCTTAACACTATATATATAAGCACATTTGGGTGGGTCGCTTAACACTATATATATATACATATATATATGTATATGTTTTCATATACATGCATGGTGGAATGGGCATGTTAGATGAAAGAAAGATGTTTAGAAGGAAGAGTTGTATATTTCTTTGATTGATTCACAAACTAAACGATATATATATATATATTTATATATATATATATATATAGATGCATACCATAACCAAACTTATACATATACCTAAACTATTATATGTACTAAATACATGAATTAACATTTTCACAGAATTTAAACATTCATTAATTCAAAAAAATTCAAATTAATTTCAATATTCCCCTTTAATTTTAAACTTCTTCCTTATTCAAAGACTTGTTCACAATCTTTAAAAGTCTTTGAATTTTAGAGATTTTGTAAGAATATCTACAGTTTGATCTTAAGTCTTCACATATTTGAGCTCTACTTCCTTTTTAGAAATGCATTCTTTGATGAAATGGTACTTTGTGTTTATATGTTTGCTTTGTGTAGACTTGTTTTTAATATAAATTTCATTACATTTTTCTTGAGCAGGTGTATGAGCTAAATAACTAACAAGTGCATGAAATTATAGTCACATATTTAGATTCATAAGTCAGACAATATGATGATAAATTACTTTTTTGAAACCCACATAATAGCAACATTACCCACGAAAAACTCAAAGTGAAGTTCTTTTAGCAGGTGTATGAGCTAAATAACTAACAAGTGCATGAAGTTACAGTCACATATTTAGATTCATAAGTCAGACAATATGATGATAAATTGCTTTTTTGAAGCCCACATAATAGCAACATTACCCACGAAAAACTCAAACTGGTAATACTCTTTCTATCATCAACATCTCCAGTAAAATTATTATCACAGAATCCAACTAGCTCAATTTCTTAAATGAAGAACAAAATAACCCAAAATTCATTGTACTTTTTAGGTAGCGAAGAATTTTGTTTTAACAACTTTCATGTGAGTAGTTATTGGAACTTCTATAAAATGACTTATTACTTAAATTACAAAGAAAACATCAAGCCTCCTGCATGTCAAATATCTCAAATTTTCTATAAGACTTTTGGATACTGTTGGATCTTCCTATTTTCCATCATCAAGTTTTGATAATTTTAATCCATAATCCATGGGTGTGCTCACTCCATTGCACTCGAGCATTTTGAATTTATTTATGATTTCTCTTGCTTAACCTTCTTGTGAAATAGAAATTTCATCCTCCATTTGCTTCACCTCTAAACCTAAATAATAAGACATGAGCCCCATATTCGTCATCTCTAAATTAATCATCATAACCTTATTGAGCTTCTTGACCAAATTTAGATTGCTACCAATTAAAAAAAAATCATCTACATAAAGGCAATGAATAAAATACCACTACATTCATAAGACTTAACGTAAAGAGCATACTCATGATTGGAACAGTTAAACCCATTATTTTGGAAATACTTGTCAATATGATTATTATATGCTCTTCATGCTTGTTTTAGTATGTATGGTGTCTTTTTCAATCCTACGAGTTTACCTTCATGTCCCTTAGCTAAAAAATTCATCGGTTATTCAATATAGACTTCTTCTTCGAGATAGCCATTCAATAAAGCTGACTTAATATCAAGTTAAAAAATCTTCTATCTCTTTTGAGTTGTCAAAGAAATAAGCAAACAAATTGTTCCATGCGAGCAACGGGTGCGAAAACTTCTTCATAATCTACTCCATGACTTTGCTTGTTTCTTTTAGCAATAAGTCTTGCTTTATACCTTTTCATATCTTCATTTGCATTTTTTGTTTATCCAATACATGAACTTGACTCCAATAGCTTCATGGCCATTTGAAAGTGTTGATAATTCTTAAGTATTTTTCTTCTCGATAGCTTTGATTCTTTTGTCCATTGTCTGTCTCCACTATTTGTGTTTTATAGCTTACTTAAAATTTAAAGACTCATTGTCCATAAGAAGACAAAATAAATTATTCACATTAAAGTTAGTGATTTCATCGGTTTTATCATAGGTTTCATGAATACTTTTTATTAACTGTGCAACTCCAATTGAACTTTCACCATGTATATAGATAGTAGGAGATGGACGCATAGTTGGCTCTTGCATTAGTGTAATGGTATCATTCTCTTCATCTTCTAATTAAAGAGAAAAATGATGTCTTTGCAACTTGTTCCTCCTAGTTCCACGTTGCTCCTTCATCATATTCAACATCTCGACTCACTATTATTTTTCTATTGGCTGGATTGTAGAATTTGTAACCTTTGAATGATCATCATAACCAATGAAAACATACTTAATTGAGCAATCATCTAGCTCGGATCTTTCTTGATACGGCACGTGAACATCGTAATGCTTCGAAAGACTTAAAGATGCGTAATACTAGGTTTTCTTCCGCTCCATGCTTTTTGTGGAGCTTGATCTTTGGAATTTCTTGTTAGAGATCGGTTCAACAAATAAACTACTCAAGAAACAGCTTCCATCCAAAATTGTTTTGGCATAATTTTAGCTTTTAACATACTTCTAGCCATATTTAGAATAATTATATTCTTTCTTTTAGTTACATTATTTTACTAGGGAGATTTTAAAACTGTTAGAGGTTGATGAATTCCATGTAATTCATAAAATACATAAAATTTACTTTTTGATTAGGGATGAAAATTCATCCTCAATCTATGCTACATATATTCTATTGATGAACCGTTCTTAGAGGCCCATGTCTTAATTTGATATAAGGTTTCTTCCTTGATTGAAAAAATAGGATATGTATGTTGCCATGTCAGTTAAGAATCATGATTTATCCTTAGTCTTAGAAGTCTAGGATCCCATTTAAAGAGAATAGCAAGTTCTCCTCTAGGCCAAATGATTAAGGTTTATTCAAGTATTGAGGGTTGAGAATGGGAACAAATCTTGATATTAGAAGCAACTATCCTTTGTTGGATGGTAGATGGAAGGGAGCCAAATAGGTCAAGACTTTCTTGCCTATATATATGTATATATTTAATAGATTATCATATTATTCTGTGTCATTTTTCTTTTAAAAAAGATCATTATAGTTTTACTATTCTTATTAGTTATAATTTCATTTTTTAGAGTCTTTAGTCATTATTAATGAAACACATATAGAAAATATATCACTATTGAAAGATGCATAATGGAGGAAGAGATTCATTCTCATATCTATCCATTAAACTCAAATTCTTTTTTTTTTTTTTTTCTTTTCCTGTTAATTTCTTTAATGAATTAAGCATTAGAAGGTCTCCCTATACCATGAAGGAGAGGGGTCTTTTATTCTTTAGAAATTCATAAACCAAGGGCACACATGACCTTATATTTGACCATCTAGCTCAAAGTATAGTTATCCTTTCACGTCATGAATGTAGTCTTATTAAAATTTTTTAAATATCCATTTCAGAGCATATAATTATATAATTGTTTAATTTGCTTATAATATTTAAATACTAAAACTAACTTGACTTACTTTAAAGGTATAAAATATTTATTTAACCTATATTGATTTTGACTATATTTGACATAACATAGTAATTTAATTAGGTCAAGCCATGCCAAACAAGCCTATTAAATTTGTTGGCCTACCCAATTCACTCTAGCTTAAGCTCAACTTTGGCCTATGTATAGATTTCGATCGGCCATGTGAAATGAATAA